TTTCCTTCCCGACACACCCTGGGGAAAATGAAAAACAAAAAATTCAAACAGAAGTTCTTTTACCCTGAGCCATTTTCTTCTACTAATCTCCATTAGGGCATTATTTGAAATTACCTTTTTAACACATTTCTGTTATCAGTGAGAATCTCTCTCCTTGGTAGATCCACTGAAAGGGCAACTGCTGCGGTTAACTCTGTGTTTAATGTCTTTGTTCCCATAGAAAAGGTTCCTGGCTCAGTGCTTATATGTTTACTTGCGTTTCTCTTTTTTCAATGGAGTCACTTTTCTCAAAACTTTCCTATACAGAAACCAGCACCAGTTGCCGTGTTTAGCAAAGTCTCTTTTGTGAATTAATAGGAGAAACCATTGCTGTAGTAACTATGTGCTGTGTTACCATAGAAACTGCTCCAGGTTCCATGCTTCTGTGTTTAGCCGTTTCTCTTTTCATCATTCATGTACAAAGTACATAAATGTGCTTTAATGTACAAATCCAAATGTGAATAAGTCAGCTTAAATCTCTGGCTTATTTCTTTTTTTTTTACTTGACCCACTGCATACATGAGGACGCAGTGTATATACCCCATGGACCTTTTCCTCCTTTTGCCACCTTCTTTTGACTACTGAGCCAAGGTGACAAATGAATTTCTCCACTGTGAGATCAATAAATCTTATCTTATCTAATAGATCTTTTGGCATCATTGTTTTTGTGTGCCTTGTTCTCTTTCCTCATAGAAAGCATCTATTTGTTTGAGTCAGGGGCAGAGTTATCGTTACCATTAACTCTGTAGGCTTATTGTTATTCTGTCCCATAGGAAGTGTCCCTTGTTCAGTGCTTCTGTCATTAGCTGAACTTCTCTCTTTAGATCCATTAGAATCGGCAACTAGTTTGACCCCTCGGTCTTATAAGAGACATCAAAGTACCTTTATTGTAAATTTATATTGTCAAATTTGAATCCCCTTTTGCTTCGCTGATCTCTGCCTCTACCTCGGTTTATTATCATGGGTTGTGCTCTTTCACTATTTGGGTCACTTCTTTAACAACCACACATAGCTGGAATATTCAGATTCCTTTTCATTTTATGACTCAAAGACGTTCCAGTCCTCTGAGTTACCAACTCTTTAGGGTTACAGATTAATAACAGACTTATTTATTTTTAACTTCCCAATAAGAAAGAAGGAAAAGCATAAAACGTTTGTCTCATGTCCTCAGAAAGGGTGACAGGAGAGCTGCAAGCAGACTGTATGTCATCTAACTTTCTATGTTGATGTAAAACTGAGATTTACTTGAGTCTAAGCGTGAAGAATTTTAGCACATTTCTGTTCAATTCTTTCATGCCAAGCCTATGAAATGTTTATTGTGGTATTTGTGCAATGCTTTGCTAGCTGAAACCTCAAATATATAGGTCAAGGTTTGGTGCCTTTTTGAGCATCTGCTGGTCGACTTAAGCAGCTTTGAA